TCACTCTCCTTTCTCTCCCCATCGCGCCACAGCCCCTCCCCCTACCCTTTTGGTTTTCCGATCACCTGAAGCCAGCGCCGATTCCGCCTCGCCGCCATCGCCTCCCTACTGTCGTCGCCTCCTCACCACATGTCTTCGGTCTCTTTCTCTCTGTCCTTTCGTTCCTGGCGAGCGTAGCAACCGCAGGAGAACTGCGATTCACTCAATCGTGAAATCGCGTCTCCATCTCGATTTTTCGGTGACTCCAGCTCGACCGGTTGACTCCTTCCACTGGCGATGTCTCTCCGGCCTTCCTTTCTATCCTGTCTCGGTCTTGTTTAGCGGACGAGGGGAGCTGTGAGTTGTGCTTGTCCAATCGACGCTGCCTCCTTCAGCGTTCCCTTCACTTTTCCAGCGAAACAGTCAAGGACCGGCCGGACTACACCCTTTCCTCACCTCCACGTGCCTCCAGCCACTTTCTCGTGCATCCCCGGTCAAGTTAGTGGCGTCAGTGACGGTGTTGGTGCTTGGTTGCTGGTGCCGGTTACTTTAACTGGAAAAATTCATTTTCCGACGCACGTTGTAGCTAGGTAAATAAATTTCAACCTTTTCTAGTAAATTTCATGAATTTTCTGATTTAGTGGGTGATTTGGTGTTATTGAGGTAATTTTCATTTAGAGGCTAAGAATTGTATAAATGGCAACAACTTTTGATTAGAGAAATTATAGTTTTTTGATTTAATTAAGTTCATATATATGAATTTTTATTTACTGTTGAGGCAGCAGCTAGTTTAGTTATTTTGGTTAAATTTTGCTTAATGAATAGGAAAGGGTATAGTGTATTGAGTTATAAATTCAATTCGTGCTAAGAATTGATTAGTTAAAGTATACTAGTTATGCTTAATAGATAATTTAAATAGGGCGTTTCCTATAATCTTGCTTGGTGAGGATAGTGATTCACAAATTATTAAGTTGTTACATAAGATCCTAATTAATGTTGGTAAAAGGAATATGAGCTATAACTTTGTATGATTATTAAAGGAATATATGATCAGATAGTTTAAGGATAGTTTAAAGTAGTAGGACGCGGAAATTAAACAAATAAACATTTTCATTTAATCGCGTATTTATTTACTTATTTGTTTAATCTTAGTAAAGCTATGAATATTTTTGTATTAGTAGTAAACTAATTTGTATCAATGTTGAAATCATGTATTAAGTAAAGCTAAGGTTTTGTATAGATGGTTAAATAATAAGTTATTTTGTTACTTAGTTTGGAGGAAGTGGAGAATAAATTTGATTGTTTGCCCGACGCGAGGGCTGACACCATGTGCTTTGATTGATAAAATATAATGATTATTGTGATATGTGAGCCAGGTACGATAGTCCATTTTAGGGAGTGCTTGCCGACGAAATTTGACAGAAAATTAAACTAAAGTTTAAATAACAACATAATAAATAAGTTTATTTAGATTAGTTCTATATTTTTGGTACATAATAAATCGGTGCTCTAATATTTATTATCTTTTATTATTCATTTCATTATTATATATTTATTTATTTATTTGCATTATTAGTGTATTATTGTTATTGATTTTATTATCGTGTTTATTGTCAATTCTATTATTATTTATTTATTATTTGCATGATTTTGGAATGTTAATTGTTGCATTGCAATTACGAGTCCAATTGAATAATATGTCTTGCATTTGTTTGCAATGTTTGTATTAATTGTGTTGTGATATTGCTGGTCTTGCTTTGTGTGGAATTGGGATGAAGTGGGTCACCATTGGAGGTTGTGAGGACGTCGATAAAGCATGGATCCTGATTGATGATGAATTGTGAAAATTGGGACCAGTCGCCGGTAAATGGCGAGATCGGCGCGCCCCGTGTGCCACCTGAATGAATGATTGAAATGATGTTGATGAGATGGAAAAGAAAAGAGAGAATGTAAAAATAAAAATATTGAGAGGGACTGGTCAAGTGAGATTAGGACCGTCCGCCAGATGTGGGGATGGGCTCCCCGGTGCCTCGGTGCACATGTTTTGAGAGGATGGGCGTTGAGAGGGACGGCGCGTCAGGTTAGGTGACGCCACTGACTTTAATTTCCCACGTGATGTGATTATGTTGAAAGTGATATTGTTTGTGAGTGCTGGTGAGATTGGCCATCTGTGTGAACTGGCTGCGTGAGCATAAACTAGTCGGCTATGACTAGATTGATATGTTTACCACATCACATTTGTGTGACTGTATGTGTTGTGCAATAATTATCATTTTAGGAAAAACTCACATGTCTTGTTTAATTTTTTCAGGAAGTAAGTTCCTCTTTAGTTCGAATTAGGTTACGTTTCTTTGACGCAAGGCATCAAAGAAATTTTCCTTAATTCCATAATTATTTCAGTATGTAACTGTATGTATAAAAGGCTATGTATATCAAATAGTTAGTGACTCCGCAGTTGTAGAATTTACTTACCTTTAGTCGTGTATTATCGTAGACGAAATGATGCTTTGAGCCTATATTAGAAATGAGATGAAATAAAATCTTGAGGCTTATTTTTTTAATATGGGCTGAATATTCGAAATTTATATTAAGATAGCAAATTTTAGGGTTTCAGGCTTACTACGGGCCTCGGGGGCCTTAAGCTTACCTGGGCCCTAGTGTCGGTCCGGCCCGTGGAATCGGGTCGTGACATGTATTTTAATCAATTTATATTAAGATAGCAAATTTTAGGGTTTCAGGCTTACTACGGGCCTCGGGGGCCTTAAGCTTACCTGGGCCCTAGTGCCGGTCCGGCCCGTGGAATCGGGTCGTGACATATGTTGAAGTAGTTGAAGTTACTCCATTGTTTTCTTGCAAGCATAGAACCATGACACTGCGAACTTCACTGCTAAACTTCCACAAAAATTAGATGCCAAAGCACTATCTACAGCCATATGTGTTGGGAGTTTGAATAATAAACCACTTAAATAATAAATAAATACATAAATTTCAATTAAATAGAATGATCTTCTTCACTTGGGAAGTAAATGTCAATATGTGGTTGGTTGGTCCTATTATTTTAATTTTAGTCCAGTCAATTCATTCTGAAATATATATATATATATTTATAATATTCAACCACATGAAAAAAATGTTTCCAATCATCATTATGACTATAGATTAGAGAAGGCCAAGGATAGTAAAAGTATTTAATATAGGAATATAATTATGGTTTTGCTAATTGCTGTCTCTTTCAATAACATGAAATGATTTGTTCTAACACCAATACCTAGCCATGGTGTGCAAAAAAATGAGGGTAGATAAAGAAAATGTTGAAAATAAATTCGTTTGAGAGAATATTGGTTCATTAAGCAATTCAATTTATTTATGATTGTCATTTTAGAATATAAAAATAATTTTGTAATTGATTAAATTGAAATGCCTTCACATGTATATAAATTTCCATTGCAATTTTAAACAGTAAAGAGCATTTTCAAATTAATTTTATGTACTTATTATTATTGAATATTTTTTTATTTTAAGGATATAATAAATAAATCAGTTAATAAAATATACTTATCAATAAGTGGTGAACAAACATTATATAAAAATAGTAATAGTTATAGATTTCAGATTTAAATGAAAGTCATTTATGCTTATTCAATTGCGTATTTCGAAAGAAATATTTATTCAATAAATAAAACTAGTGTGATATATCTATCACAAGGTCTTTTATGGTAGATTAATGTATATTGTAATGCAATTGAGGAAATTGTATGAAGAAACTATATTTAAGGAGAGTCAGATTCATCATCAACCACATATGTGTCACATGAACAAACCCTAATATTGCATCAGCAATATATTCTTTAACAGATGCAAATCTTGAACGGGAATCAAAATTAGTTGGGAAAAATATAAAATAAAATTTTCTTGGGATTATTTAATCTTCCAAAGACCAAAACCTGTCAACATCTTCAATAAGCCATTGCTGTATGTCTGTATCAAGAAAGTCATTGCCAAGAGAAAAATGCATTAAAAAAAAGAGGAAGAAGAAGAAAAAGCAGACGATGATGATGAAAAAAGAACCGTAGAAAATGAACTATACCAGAATAATTTTCACTTGTTACATTATAAGATTGATAAGAGCATCCACTCTTCCCATTCTTTTCAAACTTTCTCATTGGGCTAAGGTTGCTCGGCAACAACATTTTAGTTTTTTGATAAATGCTATTTAAAAATTTGTTTTATAATATAGGGTTTGTACTCATTTTAGAGGTTAGGGACATTTAACTTTTAGTACTTCATAAAAAGCCAATTAAACAGTTAAAGATAAATGCTACTAAAACAGTTTACAGCTGTCGAAATAGCTAATTTTCCTAAACATATCCAGATAATTACTCAATTATTGAAATCTACTTTCTCAGCGACCTTTTATTTTGTTTGTTAATTACTTTTGCTTTTCATAATAGTATTTTTTTTTTCCTGCTACTTGTTATTTGCATTCACAAGCACACAGATTAGGAGTGTCTTTGTCAATGCATTGCTAGACCATACTGTTAATCACATGGTTTAATTGCCATTTCAAAATGAATGTTTGTTGGTGATACATTCATCGAGTTTTTATTACTTCCTAATAAAGAAATATAAAAATAAGTAAACCAATTTGGAAAATTCGGTCTATATTAGATTTTAAACGTTTGGTTTTAGAGTTCAAATATTCTAATTAGGATACAAACAAACAAGAACAGGGTCCATATAATTAGATTTTAAATGTTTGTGTGAAAAAAAGGATGAGAAACAATAACTACATATAAAGCCTTAAAGCTTAAAGCTTTAAGAACTGCAAAATACAGTTGCTTAAAGCTTTATCCATAAAGTTTGAATTATGCAATATACAAGATGCTGTTTGATTTGGAAGACCCATTTTCTAGCCAAACATCTCAAATATGGATAGATGTGTAGTCAATGCAGCAGAACATTTTTCTGCCGTATACAAGATTAATATTGCAAATCAATGTGTCCTAATTCGAACCATGAAGTGGAAGGCAACAAATTTTTATGAATATATATAGTGAGAGACATAGATATATATAAATATGGCTCAGTAAAACTATAATTACAACTGAGATATTTGATTAATTTGCTTTAGTAAGCAATTTAGAAGCTGACAATATTACATACATGACGTAACTCAGTAAGTCCAGGACCAAAAGGGTTGATCTTCAACTGGGAATTCAAAACTACAAGAATTTGCAGGTGGGTCATGGTAGAGTTTAGGGAAGTATGGTGGAGGCAATAAACTCCTGCTAAGATCATCTTCTTCATCCTGTGAGAAATCAGATTGTTCAGGTTCAAGAACATGAGAAGAATCCGCAGGCTCCAAGAATGAATGTGGGCTATCTGAATCAAACACATCACTTTTCACCGAACTTGCATCTTCTTGTTTGATGAATATCATCACCGTTTGTTCACTGGAAACCACTTCAGATACAGTATTAGCAACTGGGTTTTGATCAACTTCTGCTTTTGATGAATTAATGGCATCAAGTGTTGGTCCTAAATTTTCTCTCCCTTTCTCTCTTGCAAGCATTTTCTCTTTGAGTGAAACTATCTGTCAAATTACATAGAAAGGAAGAAAGTGCATTAGTCAAATAATTGTCACAAAACCAAAACTGCGAGTCCTAGATAATTGTTAAATTTTTCTAGAAACAAGAATTCACCTGATTTTTCAAATTGTCTTTCTCTTTTAGGAGAATGGCGTAATCAGATTTAAGCTTGTCATAGCTAGCTTTTAGAGAGTCGTAATCCTTTTCCAGTTGCTTGTTCTTGAACCGAGCCCTCCGGTTTTGAAACCATATGGCAACTTGGCGAGGCTGCAAGCCAAGTTCTTTAGCAAGTTGTATCTTTCTTTCTGGTTCAAGCTTATTTTCTACCTCAAAGTTCCTTTCAAGGAACTCAACTTGACCAGCAGATAGCCGCCTTTTCTTCCCCGGTGGATTAAAGCACACATCAAAATCTTCATCTCCATTTTCTTCTTTAATAAGAGGTTGAAAAAATTCCGCATCCATTTCTTCTCCTCCACTAACATTCTGAAAATTAACTATTGATTTTGCACCTGAACCAAAAATCACCAAATACGCAAACGGATCATTTAGAATGCCATTTGCCAAATGAAAATACACGTATGGTTGTAACAGAGACCCCTTCCTGCTAAAAAGGTTCTGTTCCAAAAAGTGAATCAAAGCAGAGAAAACACATGACATAGCAAATTACATATAAAGACACTGGACTAAACTAAAAAAGAAAAGAAAGTGAGAATTTAATCAAAAGCTTCAAGCTTTATGTTTCATATTTAAAGGGTTGGTTGGTTGCTCTGTTCATGAAAGACGGTAAGAGAACAAATACTCCATGGTAAATTATTAGTTTTCTATATCTCCTCAAAAATATCTTACCAAACATAAATTATAGTCATAAAAAAGTACCAATAAAGAAAACACAACAAACACAGGAAATTTTTAGAAAATCAACATACCCAAAAAGAAAACAGAGAGCTACTACTTCAAAGAAGAAAAACAAGCCAAAAAAAAAAAAAAGCAGGATAAAATTACCATGAAGAGAGGCAGAAGAAGAAGGAATCCAAAGAGAATCACAAGGGAGAGTGTCGTTTTGAAGCAAAACGGTGATGTTTGAACCATCAGAGACTTTATCACCTGCCATATCTTTCTATGTTCTGTTTTTTTTTTTTTTTTTTTTTTTTTTTTTTTTTTTTTTGAAGCAAAAACGGTGATGTTTGAACATCAGAAGACTTATCACCTGCCATATCTTTCTATTTTTTTTTTTTTTTTTTTTTTTTTTTTTTTTTTTTTTTTCCTTCTGACTCCTGTTTGTGTTGGCTTTTGTCCTTTGAATTCCCAGAGACTTAAAAGAAAAGGATCATGGATTTAAATCAGTATAATAATCTATGGCTTGTGACGAAAGAAGGTAGTAACGAGGATCACTGCAATGTGGAAAGTCTGTGAGGGAAGAAAGCTAACACCCATCACACAGTATATAAATGAAGAAGATAAAGACTTCGCCTTTTCAAAGTATGGACTTTCAGCACACAAAACTGAAAAGGCTCTGCCTGTGCGACAAAGAGATACAAAGGGGAAAAAAAAACAAAAAAAAAAAAAAGAAAGAAAAAGGAGAAGTTCCGACGGTAGATAGATTGAAACTTGAAAGTTGAAACTTTGAAAGAGAGAGTGTGAGAATCCTTCTCTTTTAAGAGGCGTTGATGGGGTTTATAAAAAGCTAGGTGAAACTTGAAAGGACATTTGGGAGTTTGGTTTTCTTATTGGCTCTGACAAGCTGAGTGTAGAATTACTACAATATCCTTACTGCTGTATCAACAAAATGAAAGCCATAAGAATATTATGAGATAAACCAAAACAAATGTGTAAAGGAAAACTCCAAACTCATAATTTATCTTTTAAGACCTGAAATCAAAGAATTAAAAAAGAAGTTTGATGTAGATTCATGATTTTTCATTTTCCTTTTTTATTTAATTTAATTTTTACAACCTTAAATTTAATTACAGAAGCATATAATTGAGTTAAAAACCTAAAATCATTGATCATTATCTTCAATATATATACAATGTATTTCTTGTTAGGTCTAACTTTTGCCATAAAGAAACAATATATGGGGATCTAGATATTTCCTTAAGGAATGACAAAAAAGGAGCACTCCTTTTTGAACTTCTTTTTATCATGTTGATTATCTCTTAATATCTTAATAATACAGGACACAGAAATTAGGAGAAAAGCTAGGTATTTGAAGTTCATTGAACTAGGGTTTGAATCTTAAAGAGGAAAAATAAAATAAAAATCAACATTATGTGGTGGGGTTGAATTGGATGATTCCAATTTGTATCGTTTTCATCAAATTGGCTTCTAAATTTTGAATGTCACTTCATGTATAGACAAATGAATTGGAGAAAATGGAAAGGCAAAATTGCTATATATAAATTGCTACTTATATTATATATATATATATATATATATATATATAATATATCTAATTATATATCTAATTTTATGTATGATCCCTATAATTAAACAAAATTGCATTTAAACTACTAATTACTTAAGATTAATAAAATTGTCTTCAATGACAAAGTGCTTGCCCAATTTCAGTAATGCTTTCATTTCTATTGATGATGACATTATTACACACTAATTTTGAAGTAACAAGTTTCCATTATGGCAGCAATTTCATTGAGTGCACAAGTAAAAAACCAATGTTTTTACTTGTAGAAATTCAAAAAAATTAAATGATTCGTTTATATTATTTTTTAAAGATATTTATGTTTTATGTGACATTGTTATTTGAGAAATCACAAAGAAAGTTACAATATTCATAATATCCATCAATATTTATGGTAACCAATAAAAAACACAACTTCTCTAAACCCTGGCCATCTGTCTGTCTCTCTCTTATTTGTATTCTTCTAGATTTTATTTCTAAATCACCACCGACCGTCTTCTTTGATCGGCGTGGTTTCTTTTCATCCCACTGTATCATTTTTCTTTATTTTATTTAGTTTTATTTCTAATAATTTTCAAATTTATGATCGTTCGGAATAAAATTTAAATTTAATCTCTCAAATTTATAGATCTTGAGTGTTTTTGGTACTCTCTTAGTGGAGTTATTAATTTCTTTCCTTTCATGTTAAGTTGTTTCTCGTTACTGAGGAATTTATATGTGATTTTTTTTTATTTCATATACAGTTTGAAAGATAAGATGAATTATTGGTTGCTTATAAATAGTGAATTAAATGATAAAGACACGTTTAAACTAGTATACACTTTTAAAAATTTAGGAATTTAATCCATAAAAAAGAATTATATAAAAGATAACAAGAAATTCTAAAATGAGATTATAAAATGAAAAGGTAATAGAAATGAAACATGAAAGAAAAAAGTTGGATGAGAGGGTAAAGAAGTAAAAACAGGAAAGAGAGGAGTGATGTAGATGACAACGTGGGAGAGATAGAGAAGAAAACAAAAGCAACCTGTCCAATCAATCTTTGTCAATTGTATTTATAGAGGTGATGACTCATTACTCTATTACTATTACTGTTAGGTTCCTACCTCTCTCTTTTTTCTTTCTTTCTTTCTTTCTTTTTTCTGTTAGGTTCCTTACCTCCTCTCTTTTTTCTTTTCTTCTTTCTTTCTTTTTTTTTTTTTTTTTTTTCTTTTTTTTTTTTTTTTTTTTTCTTTTTTATTACAAATATTTCTATTCTGATGCAGTGGCCCTCACCTCCTCTGTCCGCCGGTTCGACCTTGTCCGCCCGCACTTTTATTTTATTTTATCTTATTATATGGATTTCTAATAAAATTAACATTTTAATTTTAGCTAGTAAAAATAATTTTTATTTTTTTAATTATTTTTTTTACAATTAATTTTACCATTAAAAATAGCTTATATTTAAACAGTAAATAGTAAATAGTAAATACTATTTAAAAGTTGAAAAATGACGGATTCAAACTATTAATACTTGAGTTATATTTATTAAATAAATTCTTGTTTATTGTATGTATTCTCTCAATTGATTGCAGTAATAAAATTTCGTGAATGTATTAAAACAAAGTGTAAAAGCAAGATGCTGAATGATGAGTAACCTTTTTATTTTATTTTTTTTCCCCTGTATGCTTTAGGAGTCGATCATTATAATTATAAGGAGCCATAATAAGTTACTAAGATATTAAAACATGATCAGTTGACCGTTATTACGGTTAAATAAATTATCTCGGCTTTGCCTAACACGTCGGTCACAAACTCATGATTCCCGTTGTAGACGTCAGATTCTTACTGGGACCCATCGCCTCGTCATCGTCCGGCGAATGGACCCACTACAATGTTCAATCCTCTCGGCCTGTTATCGGCCACGTATTACCTTTTTTTATTTTATTTTAACTTTTAAATTCTAATCTCTCTTCAAAGCAGAAGGTGAAATGTATTTATTTATTTAGATCGCGAGCCCACATCAAACGATTTTTCTTTATTTTCTTAATGCGTACATATTAGTTTTAAGATCAAAATAGATTAAAATTATTAAAATTAAATAAAAAATTATCGCTAAAAGATAAATAGTTTTAGTAAATAAATAAAAATAAAAATATATTATTATATTATAACATTTAAGTTGAATAAACAGTCAAAATTTTTAAAATAATATTAAATATTTCTATGCTAATTATCTTCTTGCGTATATTGGTATATAGCGGGTTCACATGAAGCCAAAATCTTGACTACCCACAGCACACAAGGTTCTTAAGTTTGGCCTCTCTGTTCTTGATACTGTGCATGGTTGAATCTAATTCTAGCGTTGCTATTTCCAGGATCTGCAATAAGATTCAAACGTTTGATTTTATGGTGAAATTACTTTATTTTACCATTTCCAACTCATGTATGTATATATCCTGATAAGAAAAGATGATGAGCAGGTCACTCTCCAAACTTTGTCTGCTTTCCCCATCACATTCTTCTTCCCTTAATTCTCTCACTTACAACACTTGTTTAATGACTGTGAATGAAACATGCATTTGGGTGTAATAATAGTAAAAACGACTTTAACTCCAAACTTTTATTTTTGGGTGGTCAAGGGTACGTTGCAACATGTTTATTGTGAGGATGATTTGTTATTTAATTATATTGTAATTTGATACAATTTGTATTTTAAAAAGAATAATTCGATAAAATTTACAAGTTATAACTTCTAATTTAACTTGTAAATTTTGATTTATATATATTTTTATGTTCTATCCAGAGATAATATTTAAATGAAATCCTTCAAAATTCCAACAATGATGATCTTATACGTAAAATTCAATTTGATTGCAGTACTCTAGCTAAATTTTTGAAGGTAAACCAAACGTGCAATTCATGTGTTGCAACCACACTTAAAATTCTACTAAGCCTCTCCAATTACGTGAAATTGTTAATCCCGAAGAGAAGATTTAGAAATTGAGTTAGAAGTCAGAAAGATGCATTGAACGTCTCCTACTTTTAGGTATGTGGGATTCTAATCATTTAGAAAAATGAGTACAGAAATGCTTGGGAAGTTGTTAATTACGTGCCCATTGTTTTAACGTAGAAGAAAGGAGAAACTGATCTAATAAGTAATAACGTTAAAAAAGTCAAGGAAGACTACTGTTTTTTTATTTTTATGAATTGGAACCTCAATTTACTATATAGAATATTCTTTAGCTAATGCTCTTTGCTTTCTAAAAGGGTATAAAAATTCCCCATTAATTTTATTTTTTATATAAAAAAAAATCGAAAGTGGCTTTTCAATTTTAGATAAAAGAGTACAGTTCTATTCAAATATGTTAATAAGAAATGACTTTGGCAAGATTTAGCTTAATTAATTTCACTATTAATAGTTCAAACTTCAAAGATGCAATTAATTAGAAATGATGACTTAATTCAATTAATGTTATATGGAAAACAAAGAAAGCAAACTTAGATGGGACAGAGCTTTGTTCTCTCTTTCCCACACCCCTTTTCTGTAGAAGGTCAGAGACTCGCAAGATAGGCCAAAACTGGAATAAAAATGTTCAATTTTACTAATGATGGATAGTCCGAAGAATCCAAAGCTAGCTGGTGACGGAATTATCAGAAGAAGCAGTTCTCTTAGAAACTCAAGATAGCATGTAATTCTTGGAAACTTTAAAATTTCTAACTTGGTTTCAATGGACCAATAAGAAAAAGCGAACATGGACAAAATTAACTAA